CAATAGTGTCCCATGATTCTTTGTGGCAATTCATGGGATTGAGTGGTTCCCCTTTAAATATAACCACATAAACAGCACCAAAACTTACTGAAATGTTGTTTCACATAAATGCAATGTGACAACTAAAAGTTGAGTAGAAATTTTTCATGTGACACATAAATCACTGGTGAGAATCCATCAGAGATGGGCTTTCAAGGTGGCAATGTATTCAACATTTCACCCAGGGGCCCTGGTGAGTTGTCATCTTGTACCGTAATCCTTCATGTTCGCTTGACAAAATCGAATTTTACCTTCTGGGGACTTTAATGCAACAGTATCTTTTTAGCTCCGCTGTCGACAAAGTCGACACAGCGGAGCTGTTCATATTACTGATAGTCTGTCGTCGTCAACTTTACAATTTCAACTTCTTCTTCGAAACTGCAAGTCAGAATTTTTTCAAATTTGATATGCAAGTACCTTGGATGGTTCTTTCTCACATTTGTTCATTTCATGTCAAAATCTTAAATTCTCTAATTTTGTTGAATATTTTTGTTATTTTTGGTAAAAAGTGATATTTTCAACTTCTTGTTAAAAACAGCAAGTCCAATTGCTTTGATATTACATATATAGATACTACATATGGACCTCTCTCAGATTTGTTCATTTCGTCATGATATCTTTAATTCTCTAATTTTGGTGAATATTTTTGTCATTTTTGGTAAAAAGTGATATTTTCGACTTCTTGTTAAAAACCGCAAGTCCAATTGCTTTGATACTACATCTATAGGTACTACATGTGGACCTCTCTCAGATTTGTTCATTTTGTGATGATATCTTCAATTCTCTAATTTTCATGAATATTTTTTTAATTTTTGGTAAAAAGTGATATTTTTGACTTCTTGTTAAAAACCAATAGTTCAATTGCTTTGATATTACATATTTAGATACTACATGTAGACCTTTCTCAGATTTGTTCATTTCGTGATGATATCTTGGATTCTATAATTTTGGTGAATATTTTTGTCATATTTGGTAAAAAGTGATATTTTCGACTTCTTGTTAAAAACCAAAAGTTCAATTGCTTTGATATTACATATATAGATACTACATGTGGACCACTTATAGATTTGGGGGTGATCTCATATTCAAACACCTGGGTCAAACCTGGGTTAACCTGGGTAAACCCGACCTGCCCTATTC